CTGTGATTTCTTTAAGATGTAACACCTCAGAATATTTTCTGAAAGTCACGTGAACTTACACCAAAAAAATCATGAAACATGCATAAACCGTTTCATTTATTCAAATTAATATTAACAGCACAAAATCAGTATCTGAATATATCTGAATATATCCGAATGTCATACATACGAAATTACACAGACCGAATACTACGTAGCATTGAATCCACACCTCTTGGCAAAATATTATCAAGTTAATGTATTCCGATTACCGGAAATGAAAAAGAAAATATTTATATACCTTTAAATCCGATCAAAAAATGTTTAAATATCCTAAATAATCTAAATAAAAATTAGTACATTTAGATAGAAACTTTAGATAGGATAACTAACCGTTTAAAGAAATATGCGAACCGACAATAAATCATAAAAATTTTCTTATCCATAATAAAAGAAGATTCATAATCTCCCAAGGTGGAGTAAAACCTATGGCGTCGTGAATACTTAATTCGGTTGAGCTAAAAATCGGAATGTTTCTTTCAAGTGTTAACATGTGAAAGTTTATGAGCAAAAAAGGTTTCATTTCGATTATTATTTTAATACGCGAGGTTTTAAAAAATTCCTTTATAATCCCTCGCTGGACTTGGGTTTTCATTTTCTTCACATAAAAACTGTTATAAAAAATCATGAAAAAAATCTCTTTTACTACAATTTATTTCTTCATTTACTTATCATTCATTATAATCACCAAAATTTATGCTAGTCTTCAATGCGTTGATTATTTAGATCCTCTTAATCCAAGAGACAAAATTCTTATAGCATGTCCTCATGTTAGATCAAATAAAATTGAGGTTCGCGACGGTAATAAATCAAAAGATAGATCAAAGAATATGTTTGATTTAACGTTTAATTGCAATTTAAACGACGAAAATTTGTGTAAGAAAGCAAAGGCAACATTCGAATCGGCTGGAAGGATTTTAAGTTCTGCATTATTACTTAACACAAAAATTGGTTTGAATGCTACTTTTAGACCTTTTGAAGGGAATTTATTAGGTATATAGAATGATTTTTCAATTTCATTTATATTCATGATATTCATGGTATTCATGGTATTCATGCTTGTGATCCCCAAACAGGAATTAATATATTTTATTTTATGATACAGGAGCAGCAGGTCCATCCCGAGCAATTCCTTTCAAGGATGATGATGGAAAAATTCGGTTATATGCACAATCTCTCGCAAAGCAATTTCAATTAGAAGTTCATCCTGAATATTCACCAATTGATATCTTGGCCGACTTTAATTCAGATTTTCCATTTTGGTTCGAAGGCGATTCACCAATCCAACCAAATCAAATTGGTTTTGAAGAACTCGTATTACATGAATTGACACATGGACTTGGTTTTCTTTCTAGTTGGAGTAATGATTATCTTGAAGAAGATTCTTCATTCCTTACTCCTAATATTGATGGTATTTTTTATAATGTTGGTGATAATGTAGAAAGTAAATCTGTATTGGTCTTTCGTGGGTTTTTAGAAAATGCTTTTGATAAATATATGATTTTAACGTCAGATAGAACCCGTACAACAGAATTAACATCAGAACTTAATAAATTCCTGGATGGTCAAGATAAAATATTTCTTTCCGTTAACGAATTTATCGCAAAGTTTAAAGCTTCACCACAACTTAATATAGCAAAACAAATGTACAAAACTTGCACTGAAGCTAATTCTATAGAATTTTTAGCCAACACCTCTAATTCAAAAAATAATGCAGTAATATTAGAGACTAGTATAAGTCCTTTCCGAGTTGGCGCCAGCATAAGTCATGTAGACGAAAATTTATTTAATTCTAGCGATTTTTTAATGACCTTTGAACAAGTACTTGGAAGGACTCTTGAAGATTCTATTGCAGCAGGTGGTAGTGAAGGTGGTAAAGAGAAAGCTATCGGACCAAAAATATTGGCTATTTTGGAAACTTTGGGGTGCGTACCTTTAAAAATCATTATTACGAATCAAAAGTTATATTATTAAAAATTTATTTTCTTTTAGATATCCCACACCAAATAATCCAAATCCTTATAGGCCAAGCCTTGCCTTTTCGCAATCCTCATCAATGGAAAGTTGTTCGTCATCTCATTGTACTAAGGCTGGATCTTCACCTGACTTACCTGATTTACCTGATTTACCTGACTTACCTGACTCAACCGCGGATGATTTATCGTCTTCTTCAAATAGTCTTTCTATGTTTAATATGGCTTCAATGGTCGTTTTTATGCTTAGTGTTTATTTAATGCTGTAATATTGTGAGTCGTGATGTTGTGATGTTGTAATGTCATAATGTTGATGAGATAGTTCAGACCGGAAAAAACTTTACATTTGTGAAATATTTGTGAAATAATAATGTATTTTTTTTCTTTATTTTTTTTTTGCTGATTTTATAATTTTTACAATGCAATTATGTATCTAAATAATTCACATACATATAAAGAAAATAAAATTTTGATATCATATTGATATCGTGTATATAATCAAATTATAACAAAAAAAAAAAACTCTATAAAGTAATTATAATATAGCTACCTAACTCACATTCTCACCCTATGTAGACCCCTACGTAGACCCTATGTAGACTTTACGTAGACGACCATAATCTCTTTTCTACCAACTCTAATGTCCCTTTTAATTCATACAACTTGAGCACGTCAATCACATCCTTAGTCAAGTTATTGCTATACAAAAACCTAATAGGTTTCCTATTTACTCTTAATTCACATTCATTCAAGAATCCTTTAATAGCCTCAAACGAATATTTCCAACTATATAATCCTAAACTAAGGGATTTTAAATGAATTGGAACATCCAATCTCATTTCATCAAGGGTTTCACTAATATCCGTTGTTTTTACTGCTCGTAAGTAAACTTCTTCAAGTAATGAACATCTTTTAAAAAGATTTGGAATTTCAGATATTGCTATGTTTGGAATACATAACATTACATGAATCAGATTTGGACAATGATTAATAACTATCAAGAATAATTGCTTTAAATGCTCTACAGATATCGATGCGGTATTTCGAATCCGTAATTCACGAAGACCACCCTTATTACATTGAATTATATCAATTACTTGTTCCGTAGTTTGAAAACTATCAAGATTGATTTCAAATACGGTAAGTTTAGATAAATTTGAGTAATTAGAACAAAGTGGTGGGGATGGTGTATTCATTTCAGAAGAATGCAGAGATTGTGATTTCTCGTTTGTTCGTGCTTGAACTCGAGGAACCATTGTTTCCTGTATGCTTGCCACTGTCCTTCGAATAGCGGAAACCATTTGTACAGATGGTAACATTTGAGTACGGTCCAGAATTCCAGCTTGTATGTACCCTTGGAGTTCAGATCGAAGTTGTCTGGAAATTTGAGGATTCGTAAGTAGATGTGATTCATTATATAATAAAGATAATTCTTCAAGATTTGAGCATTCATAAAAGAAATCCAATGAAAAGGAAACAATTCCTTTTATAAAGATCTTTCGAAGTGTATTGGATTTAGATCGAAGTGCTGAAATGGCTTTAATCGTCTTTTTTAAAGAGATTATTGTGATCTGTTGTAAATTAACTTGAGCATTTATCAATGTAAATAGCTCATTACTACCACATTCATTTTCATAACCAGATTCCAATAAAATATCTAAAGTACGGATTTCCTTGGCTATTTCGGCTATTGAGGAAAGACAAAGCGGTGCATCATCTATAGTAAAGTTGAAAAAAGGTGATATAAATAATAAAGTATAAAATGTATTTTATCTTTTTTGTTATTCATCTTTTTAGTCTTTAGATTTTTTTTTTTTTTTTACCTCGCCAACATAATCTTTGTATTCTTGAAAGAAAAGGATCTGCACCAGGTATTTCCCTTAAATTCATATATATTGTCTTGAGATGTGAACCCATATAATTGTTTATCATATGAGTGCTAAGTTCAAGGGATTTAATGTGAATGCCTTGGTCGAAGAATAATTTGCATAATAAAATTAAGACCATCATAACATTAGCATTATCTTTAACAATTCTATTCACAGAATCAGATAATAAAACATAATTTAATGTATGTAAAAAAGAAGGGTAGTTAAAAGTTGGAATTGATGAAGCTGATAATAAGTCAACACACAAATCAGTGAAAGATAACATAAGTTTAGATTCTTTTGGAAGACAAGAAATATAAGTTTTTATAACTGATTTCACATTTGTCTCAAAATATTCACTATCATCGTTTTGATATAAAATTTCTAATGGGTTTTGCCAAAGAATAGAAATAGCATTAGAACACCATATACGATTAACCAGAATAACTGAATATAATGAATCTGTATCAAGATCTTTAAAGATATTTTGAAAAATTTCGGGAGGGATAGAAGTTGACATTATTGGTAATTGGATAACGATAATTGAAAAAAGTCGAGTTATACCACGTAAAAGTGTACGTATGTACGTAAGTACAATACGAAAATATCTTAAATATTTGATCGGCCAATGTACACGACAGTAATGGAATTGGGGTGTCACACGGACTAATTGATCAAAAAAACTATTATCGTTACGGTTATGTAATTTATCATATCGCAGATTTTTTATGTTACACGAATGCAAATCAAACTTTATAACAGTAAAAGTTATTTACGGCCGAATAAATCTTTAAGCAATCTATTAGATTTTGTTTTTCTTTTTTTGTGATTACTATTATTATCATCAAGGTTTTCCTTGATTGAGATTGGATAATAAGTTTCGCTTGCTATTGATGTTTTTTTTGATTCCAAGTTTGTTAAATACAATGAATTACAACTAATCTACTGATCTATTAAAATCAACTTAAACGTTAATTATTCATAAATTACTTGACAATTCTCACCAATTATTTATATAAAGTCAAAGAGTAAAGCTATGTTTAAAATATATATATATATTTTTTGGTATACTAATGTGTTTTGAGCATTCGTCATACAGGATATTCGAAAATTTCGAGAATTCATTAATTAGGACAAAAAAGAATTATCTTGAACCTATAAAATTTAAAATCGAAATCTAATTAGAACTTTGGCGAAAAATCGAACATAGTTACTTTGAAATAGTTCTGATAAGCGGTATTTAATCAAAAGAAATCAAGAAAAATAAATGCAATATTATCTTTCAACGTTATAACTTCGGTATTAAGTAAAATTCGATTATACCGTTACTGGATGATTATAATACAGTAATCAAGTAATCAATGGAGCCGACATAATCTAATTAGTCCATGTGCCGGTACGGTGTTACCTCTACCCCTAAATAATTATAACCTCGGGAATCGGCGATCGCATACCCCCGCTTCGATGAAATTCAAACGTTACATGATCATCCCCGGTTGAACCTTTAACCATTTTCATATTTCTGTATTTATCCAATGTATTACCATTTCCTATTTTACCATTATCCTGAAGCTAGAGTAACGCAAAGTCAAGCGATTGTAAGAAAGACAATGACCTGAAGCAGGGGCGTGAAAGTCAATATAAGCATTAATATAAACAAGTGATACAATAGTAGAATAAGTATTAGTAGTAAAGGTGAGTGTGTGCGGAAGGAAAAAAGGTTAACCGTGAAAGAAGTCGTTCTAAAGTCGTAAAATTCGTGATTAAAGGTGGATGTACGAAGGGATAAAAGTTCGAGTTATTTGAAATTGTCAGGAGAATGGAGTATGATGAAGAAATTTAATGTTGAAAAGGATAAATCCACAGAGGAAGGTGATCCTGACGGTAGCTAGAATAATAATTTGTACGATATTAGAATGTATTTAAATAATTGTTTTTTTTTTCAACTTGGATAAATTCGATCTATCTAATAAGCATAAAAATATGAGTTAATAAACAAATCAAAGTCAAAGCAAACTTATATATCTGTCGATTCACGATACTTTAATTTATTGCGCCATTGAATTATCGTTAAAATCTTTTAAATTTATCTATTTATTTTATTGTTCGAATATCAGGCTCATAAAGCATAAAAGTCCAATTTTAAGACGGTTCGAAAACGACAAACATTCGAAATTAAATTTCGAAGAAACCATTTTTAGTAAGCATAGCAATTTAACATCGTCATTAGAATAGAATTAGAGGAGATTATACTTTCTTGAAAGTGATTTTAACCTTAGAGTCACTTCCCGAGGTTAGCATGATTTTCGGATTGCATATGATCGTTTGGGACGTTTCTACTTTTGCATTCCCATCAAAATCAAAAGACGGACGTCCAAACCCGAAATGAGTGTTACCCTATGTTTGTAAATTTTAAGTTACTAAAAACGTAAGTAATTTACCGGTAATTTACCACAGAATCTATAATAATAACCTCAATCCTGAGTGACACCATTTTCGGATACATATTGGAATTGACGTTTTCACTTAAAAACATTACATAATCGCTTGTTTCAATAGAACCCTAGCCAAAAAAATTGACAGATCACGTGATGTACATTGTTACGAGTTTCTATTAGCAAAGTAAAAATAAAAATTTGAGCGAAGATACTTCGATGACCAACAAACCAAAATCAATAAAAATTTTTTTTATTTGAATTCTACGAACCTGTAGAATTCAAATAAAAAATTTTATTAAATTTGGTCAGTTAGTTATCAAGATATATTCGTTCAAAGTCGAAGAAAAATCATAACGTCTATAAAATAGAAGCAACGCCAAATTATTTTTAAAACTTTGAACGAAGATATCTCAATGACCACTCGACCAAATTCAATGAATTTTTTTATTTGAATTCTACGAATACGTAGGATTCAATTAAAAAAAAATTTCATTGAATTTGGTCAGGTGGAATCTAGTGATACGAATCGAAACAAATATTGTAATCGATTAGTTGGTTGAAAATTTTTTAAAAAATCGATTACAAATCGATTATTGCTAACTAATCGATTAATCGATTAATCGATTAGTTGGTTAATCGATCAATCGATTAGTTGTTTTAGTTGATCTAACTTAATAATAATACTGAATATAAATCTGATAAAAATTTTATTAAAAAGCTAATTAAAATAAAACAACTAACTGATTAATCGATTAATCAATTAATAGTTAATCGATTAATCGATTAGTTGGTTAATCGATTAATAGCTGGGTCAAAATTGTTAATCGATTAGTTGTCAACTCAGCCAACTAACTGACTAATCGATTTTCGATTCATATCACTAGATGAAGATAAGGGTCTGATATAAATATTTGCGACTAGAAGCTAAATGACACCCTTAATATAATGATGAATACAACAAATAGGGTTGGAAATAAATAGGAGATAAATGATGATGATGAAATACTGCAAAATTTGTCAAATACAGAAAGATCAAAGACATTTTATTTTCTTGTAGATATATACAAAGAATAGATAATCAACTTAAAAAAAGCAGGCCTTAGTTACACTCAATATAAATATAAAGTAGTGGTAGATGGTTCAAGAAAAAAAATGTATAAACAGAGCAATAGCACTATTATCGTTATAGAATGTATATTAGACCACTGGAAAGGATCCTAACAAAAACTACAACTTATATAGAAGGAGACAAAAAAATGTGAATGCAAAAGCAAGCTACATCCAAGTTGCATTCCAATTAATTCATCAATAATAGCTCTCAAATATTATTATAAACATAATAATCACCAGCCTGGTCAATAAATGACTTGTATACTCTTCCATTATCTGAAAACATTTGATAATTCATAAGACAACGTGCATTAGAGTAACTCAATATTTATAGTATACAGCAGCTTTTGCGATACTGAAGAATCAAACTCCTAAATCAAGTACAAAAAATGAATGTAAATAATAATAATAATAATAATAATAATAAT